TTTTACCTTGCTTCTAACAACAGCGTTCAAGAGGTCAGTAAATGTTAACATGACTATGAAGTTTTTATTTTAACATACCTAAGCAGGGGGCACTGATGAGGACAAGAACATACCAGTTTTATTATGCAAATTTGGATTTAATTCTTAATTTTACACAACTATTAAAAGTTTTTGTATATATTTTGAGTCCAAGTAGATAAATAGATTTGCAAATTTAGAGGAACAGTTTTTTATCTATTCTGACCAAAGTTTGTTATATTGCTTACATATATATTAAGGCTCCTGTCTTGTATATGGTTAAAATAGCATCTTTCAAAAGGCATTGATGTGACATGAGCAGCTGTAGAATCCAGTTTTTTCATGGTTGTCTGATACAGAGATCTCACTGGTAAAAATATGAGGCTTTTCTAACTTCATTTGTGTTGCTTCTCTCTTTCTTTGCTTTTGTTGCATTTTTTCTCCACTGAATTAACGGTCCCTTTAGTGTCTAATATTATCCCCATCCAAGGGCTGTTATCAAGTCACCTTTCAATCTTATTAAGAAAATAGATAGAGTGTGATATCAGGTTTGGAAATGATAGACTAAGAAGCTTCAAAACACTAATACTCCTGAATTCCTTTTATTGACTTGATTTGTTCTCCTGGGTTCAGCAGTAGCAGTCATGTTTCTCCTTCGTGGTAGCTGGTGCAGTGCTGTGTTTTGACTTCCAGCCTGGGAACAGTGCTGGTGATACCGATGTTTTCGGTTGTTGCTAAGTGATGTTTACCCTGACCAAGGCCTTTCTGAGGCTCATGCTCTGCCAGGGAGGAGGGGAAGCTGGGAGGAAGCAGAGATGGGGCGCCTGACCCAGGCTAGCCAAAGAGGTATTCCATACCACAGCACATCATGCCCAGGGTGGGGGGTAACGGGGAGTTACCCGGAAGGACACTGGCTTCTGGGTGAGACCTGTTTCTTGGACGGTAGTACTGTATTCTCTTCCCTTGTTATTTTCTCTTATCACTGTTGTCGTTGGTAATAGCAGTGGTGATTTGTGTTGCACATTGGTTGCTGGACTGTTCTTGTCTCAATGAATGGATGTTCAAATGAAAGAGCACTGCTTTTGCTTTTCATATGAAGTGCTGAATACAAGAAATTATAAAGCAGAGGAATGTCAAAGACATGAGTAGCTGTCCTGGGTTCAGCAGTAGCAGTAATTTTTCTCCTCCTTAGTAGCTGGTGCAGTGCTGCTTCTCACTTTCAGCCTGGGAACAAAGCTCATAACACCGATATTTTTAGTTGTTGCTAAGTAATGTTTACTTTGACCAAGGACTTTCTGAATCTCTTGCTCTGCCAGGGGAAGCCAGGAGGAAGCAGAGACAGGACACCTGACCCAAACTAGCCAAAGGGGTATTCCATACCCCAGCACATCATGCCCAGTATATAAACTTGGGGCAGTTACCCGGAAGGCCCAGATCACTGCTCAGGTTGGGCTGGGTATCAGTCAGCGGGTGGTGAGTGGTTGTATTGTCTTCCCTTGTTATTTCCCTTATTATTATTTTTGGTGGTAGCAGTAATGGTTTCTGTTATACCTTAGTTACTGAACTGTTCTTATCTCAACCCGTGGGAGTTACTTTTTTTGATTATCCTTCTCATCCCTTCGGTAGCGGGGTGAGGAAGGCAAGGGGAGTGAGCGAGCGGCTGCATGGATCTGAGTTACCGGCTGGGCTTAAACCACAACAGTAGCATCAATGATTAAGGAAATATTCATGCTCAAGAACGAATTCTTCCTAAAAGTTGTTAGGCAGCTGGTAAAGTTTTTCATTGAATTTACTCTAAATTTATCTGTGGTTTAGGCCCTGTGTCCAGTTACTGACTCAGTATCTTCATTTAGATTGATCCCCCATGACCTGGTTGGGTAATTGGCTTCCAATTCATACTAAAAGCACTTTCTTTTTTTCCAAATTAAATAAATACACAAATTTTTGCCCCTTGTAAGGAGATGCAGGGTGAAAAGAAGTTAAAAACCTTTTTTGCCTTCCTTGTACCATGAACTTTTTCCTTGGTACATCTGTCATGCTGTGATTAACATTTCCTTGTCTCCTTGCAGGCTTTTCCCTAGTTCTCTTCCAGCTAGTTTTAGTCTTCTCTAAAACAAAGTTGCACTTTTTTTTTTTTTTTTTTTTTGCAGATAAATGCCCTTTTCCTGGTTTTGCTGCAAATGAGCATACCATTATCAAAAAGGCACCTCTATCATCTGGTTTCTGCAGCTGGCCTTCATTGTTCTGTGTTAGTTTGTTCATTCAGTCTTTCCCTATTCTAATAATCCTATCTGGTTTAACAAAAGGCTAAGAAATTCTGTGTAACAGTGGCAGGACAAATGAGGAAGCTTTTATGAACTCAGGAAGGAACAGCTTACAAACCATTTGGCTTGTGGAACTATACTGTTTTGCTTTCCTTTGAGTAGAGCAGTTGGAGTCACTGTTTTGCTGATTTGACGTCTCCTGTTGAGTAACATAGGTGGGACAAGAGCACCCATTCTTGTCAAATATGCCCAATATAAGGAAAAAATCCTAAAAAAATAAGCGTTGATATGTAAGCTTATCTGTGTGTACTGCTGAGGTACAATATGGTACTCAAGTATAACAGGACAGCTAAATACATAACTGAATAATCTAAAACAACTGGCCAATTCACCTCACTTCATGTTTCAAATGTTCTCTTATGTATGTGCACTACCACCAGTCAATGGCCGTGTTCTGAGGAATGGCCTTCTTAGCTTTTTCTATTAACATCTGTAAGTTGCAGTGTATTTTTACTGTAATTTGGTTACTATGGTGATGAAGGATAGCAACATGTTCATTATGGATTCTTTGAATGTTCTCTGATGCTAAGGAGAATGGAGTAATACATTCTAAAAGATAGATCCAGTGCATTTTGTGTTATTGAAACAACTACTTCCAATGAACTGAGTGAGGAAAAGGATTTTGTGTTTTGACCCTTTTTTCTGTTAATAGGATTTTCATGTATAGGGTTTGTTGCATCAGCTGTTCTGGTAAATAATAGAGACAGTGTGTAATATTTGGATTTCCTGGTAAACATTGGTCCACATAGTTACAGTTTCTCTATATAACTAGTCTGTTCGTGAGAAAATCACTGGAGGCTTGCATACTTACCTATTAATTGGTTCAGAATGAATTTTGTATGTTTGCCTTGTAGTTTACAATTCTGAATTTTCTATACTGTGCTTACCATTATGGAAGTATACATCTTTTCATAAAGTATAATTTGTTTTTTTATGAATGTCTATTTTTAATGCAGTTAATTCAGGTGGCTAACAAAATGCATAATCAATACATACTACAACTTCAGAATAGATTTATTATGACGGTAATGTTATTGCTACAGCAAATTACTGAAAAAAATGCATCTGATGTAATTGTGTGTTAGGAAAGAGGTTTAAAATAGAGTACCAAAGTACAAACAATGTAAAAAGTATATCTGCTACATATTTTTTTAGAAGTAAATGGAAGTAAATTCTTAGGTGCCATAATTCTGCTCTTTGATGTTGCACAATTTAAAAAATTAATTGACCAGAATACTTAGCTCTTAACTGTTGAGGTATGCAGGTAGATTAGTTAACCCCTGCCTGGGCTTACAGTAGCTGAACAGGACATCATTAACTACTGGACAGAACATGGGAAATTGCAGATTTTAACAAGTAACTGAGCGAGTGGCTGAAAGTTACGGATGGCGTCATGAGTGATGACTGGATTTCATAGATGGTTAGGGAGAATTTTGTCAGAAACAGAAAAACTTCACAGATAATTAGAGGAGGAATCGGGGACATTTCATGGATTATTCTCTTGTAAAGCCAACAGAGCCTCGGTAGCCATATCAGTAATGCCACATAAAGCCAAGATTATTTAGGTAGCAACCAGAAGTACCAAATTTCTGTATGGAGGTGAAAAAACTGGGAACCATGGGGACAAACACTTAAGTAGGGGTTATTTATCTGTGAGGAGAAAGAGGATCAAGGTGGGTGGGAGGAGTACAAATATGGGAAAATGCAGAGAAAAGGTGATAAAAGGGCTGGTTGGGTGTAAGCAGTCTTCTGCTCATTATGCTTCTCTGGCTGAGTCTCTGTGTTACCACAGACCACGGCTGTCTTTTTACTTCTGTGTTACCACCCTTCTTAGCTAGCACGGGTGGGCTTTTGCAACTAGAATAATACCCAGATCTGGAATGACTTAAGATCTGAGCCAGCAAATTGGTAAGAGGTTCAGGATATGGATCTGGATATCAGACATAATTTAAAACCTGCACTGATATTTGAGTGATCCATTTATGTGGGTTTATTTGTGCTTTCAGGAAAGAAAGGAGTGCATATGTTAGCTGATGAGCTTCAGTACTGACTACTCAGAGAGGAGGAAAAGGTTGAACATTGTTGTTCAGGCTGATGTGAATGCTGTTTGTATTTATGTTGATCCATGTGGGCAGTGTGTCTGTCTTATGTGTGTGTGTGCATGACTATGCACCTACTGAGGCTACAGTCAGCTTCACTGCTGGCTAGTTCTAAAACCGGAATGGTAACAACCTCTTTGATCTGAAAGTCTGTTGTATTCAGCTTTTCTTCGTAATAACTGCTGTGAAAGAGATGTTCAGTGACCATTCAGTATCTCCTGGAACTGTGGTTCCGATTCTTCTCCTTTTGTTAGAGATGAGTTTAGTCACTCCCACATTCACTCCCACATACTTCTACCATGTTTATTCACCAAAAGAAATAAACCAACAGGAATATTTTTAGTTCTTTTCTATTAAATTGGTGATAGTTTTCAGATGTCCCAGTTAGTAACTTAGAGCCTCATAGGGTAGACAATAGCAGAAAACCACTATAAATAAAAGCTTCTCAATCCTTCCTAAAATTATTAAAAAAAAAAAAAAAAAAAAAAATTATGGGCAAAATATCAGGAAGCATCATTAACTCAAACACTCCCTACCTTTTTGTGTTTATTACTTTTAGGTCCATTTTGTGAGAAACCTGGTGATCCTTGTGCATCTCAGCCATGTCTGAATGGGGGCATATGCCAATACAACCAGTATGGATATGTCTGTGATTGTCCTGCTGGTTTTCTTGGTCACAACTGTGAAATTGATGTCAATGAATGTTCTTCAAGGCCATGTCAGAATGGAGGTACATGCATCGATTTGCCAAATGTAAGTATAAGCTTCAGAGATTTCTATTTGGACAAGGAGTCGTAGAATCATTGAGTTGTTTTGGTTGGAAGAGACCTTACAGATCATTTAGTGCCAAACCCCCTGCCATGGGTAAAGACACCTTCCATGAGACCAGGTTGCTCAAAGCCCCATCCAGCCTTGTCTTGAACACTACCAGGGATGGGGCACCCATGTTTGGGAAGTCTTTTCCAGTGTCTCACCATCCTTATAATAAAGAGTATCTTCCTTATTTCTAATTTAAATCTACCCTTTCCCTCTTTCAGCTTAAACCATTATTCTTTGTGCTATCAATACAGGCCCTTTTAAAAAGTCCCTCTCCAGCTTTCTTGTAGGCCCTTTTTTAAGTATTGAAAGGCCTCAACAGAGCCCCCAGAGACTTTTCTTTACCTTTATGAGCAACCCCAATCCGCTCAGCCTTTCTCTGTGGCCATTTCTGTGGCATTCCTCTGGACTTGCTCTAACAGGTCCATGTCTTTCTTAAGCTGTGGTCCCCAGAAACTGAACACAGTACTCCATGTGCGATCTTACAAGACTAGAGTGGGAGAAGCACCTTCCTTGATCTGCTGGCCGCACTTCTTTTTATGCAGCCCAGCATACAGTTGACTTTCTGGACTGCAAGTGCATAGTGCTAGCTCACATCCAATTTTCCAAGCAGCACTATTACCCAGTCCTTCTACTTAGGGCTGCTCCTAATGCATTCATTATGCAGTCTGTACTAATACTGGTGATTGCCCCGATGCACGTGCAGGACTTTACATTGAGCCTTGTTGAACCTTATGAGGTTCACATGAGCCCACTGCTCAAGTCTGTCAGGGTCCTTCTGGATGGAATTCCTTCTTTAGCGAATCAATTGCAGCACTCTGCATGGTGTCATGCGCAAACTTCTGAGGGTGCACTCAATGCTTCTGTCTGTGTAATTTATAAAGATACTGAACAGTAGTGGTCCTAGTACAGGCCCATGAGGGATACCATTTGTTGTTACTGATCTCCATTTGGACATGGAGCTGTTGATTGCAACTCTTTGGGAATGGCCAATATCTACTGAGCAGTCCATCCATCAAACCAATACCTCACCAGTTTAACAACAATGATGTTTGGTGGGACAATGTCAAATGCCTTACAGAAGTCATGGTAAATGGCATCAGTTGCTCTTCCCTTATCCATCAGCACGGTCACTGCATCATAGAATGCCACCAGATTAGTCAGTCAGGCATGATTTGCTCTTCTTGAAGCCATATTGGCTGTTTCTAATCCCCTCCCTGTCATCCATGTGCCCTGCCATAGCTTCCAGGAGGATCTATTCCATGAAAGTGGCAGACCATTTAATTCTAATGTACATTTTAAAATGAGCTTTGCATGACCCATGAAGAAACCGAGCTTTGTCTGAATGTGCAGTGTTCCTAATATTCCTATTTTTAAAAAGGCCAAATACCACATTTTCAGTTCAGTTGGGCTTTTTTTGTCACTTAAGAAACTACCAGTGTTGCTTAACTTTTTTCTCTCTCCCTAATAAAATCTTCTGATATAAAATACGATACATCAGTCATCTTTATTAATTAATGGTTGTTTCCTGTTCTCATGCTTTGCCTGTGATACTTGGTTTTAATACTTGGTTTTAATTTCCATCCCTTTCCCCTTCCCTCTTCTTTTTTCTTCTTGTAAAATAGAATAAATTAATGCAGACTTGATAATAGAGTCATATCTGGTCATATTTCAAACTGCATTGTCAGTGCTCTTTCATTAGCATGACTATTGCAAATAGCAGTGATTATACAGAACCAAAATAGCGGAAGATTCAAAAGCTCAGTATCACATTCCAGCAATGCATACTCACAGAGAGAAAAAAAGACATCTAAATTCCCAAACAAATTGATAGATTTCTAAATTATACAATCTGTCTAAATGTTTTTTAGTAGATATACTAGCACATTGTAATTTGTACAGTCATTTCTATAGTCAAACAGATGAAGTAGTTTGTTTTACACATATATATAAATCTTTCACTAGATGTTGAGAGTTCCCTTGATCATGCCTTTAAGACTGATTCTAAAGAAACACCTGAACACTTGCAATTTCATTGGGGGAATAAACCCATGTATAATTTTCCTATACTTTCTGACATCAGAAGACCTGTAAAGAATATTACTTTATATAGAAAAATAAGGGTGGGAATATCAGCTCTCAGAAATTGTTTGTAAAATAACTTATTGTTCTTACTGTGCAAATTACAGATGTCTTTCACCATCATAGAGAAACATATTTTCTGTGTTTCATATTGAAGGGGAAAAAACATTTTATTTCCTACTTTAGTTGGCAAATACTGTTTGGTATTTGATGTACCTTGTGTACTGTTACTGTTTGAAAGATGCAAACATTACATTGATACAAATTCAGAAATTAGGAAAAACCCTAAATGAATTGTAAAGTTCCTTCTCAATCCAGTTATGAAATGACAAATCCAGCTAAATTTAGAGCTGGTGTATTTCCAGCTAGCAAACTGAGCTCTTGCATAATTTGTGCTGGAATGCTTATCCAACTTGTCCTAAATTCTGTTTGTAAGCTAGGAGTGCTTTTTGTTCTGTCTTTGTAGACTGTTTAATATGATGAAACTCTGTCCTAGTTAGGATCTCTATAGTAGTGGAACTAAACACTAATTTCTGTATTGCCTTGATTACAACAAATAATTATTTTTAATTTCTTCTATAGGATGTGGCATGTATCTGTCTGCCAATATTCACTGGCAAGTTCTGTGAGAGAATACTGAATCCATGTGAATTACTGCCTTGCTTAAATAACGCAACTTGTGTAGCTCAACACCAGAACTATAACTGCCGGTAAGATTAGAAATTAATTTATTTCAGTACTTTGATCACTTGATGACATCCCAGTGATTGCAGAAAGAAAAGACTTCTTCAGTCACAGAGCACACAGAAAAAAAACACATTCCTTTCAACAATTGTTTATGTATTTTTGGTGTTCTACTGTGTCAGTCTTCTTAAAAACTTGTGAAGTACTAGAAAAAGATTTAAAACATTTAACAAGTTACAAACTTTTAAATCAGTAATTCTGTAAGATAAAATATATAAATCCTGACAAAATGATGATAAGTAAGACAATTATACTACAGGTACCACTCCCATTCAAGGCATATGATATTTCTGTTGTTTCTGATAGGATAAGACGAATCATTTAATTTCTGATTCACAAACATGTATTAGTAGGTCTTAGATTGATCCTTCAAGCAGCATAGTAAAAAGTGCTTTATCCAGGAAGACCATGCTGGAAATTATCCATTTGAAAATAACAGACGACCCGGTATATCATTTTATTCTATTTTAAATAGCTTTTTAGAAGCAATTTAAAACTATTTTTAAACTAAAACTAATAGGTTAGTTTTCCTACACCACTAAAGAGTACAGTTTGTCCTCTTCCCATTTGTTTGGCTTTTATCTTGCTGCCTGGAGTAAGTTCTGCTGGGCACTACTGAAGTGCAATAAACCACTTTCAAATTTTAAGATATTCATAAAAACTGAAAGCTATGGTACGCAAAAGCCTGAAACCATTATGAATTAATTTAGAAACCACAAATGCATAACTGAAGTACAGATATAAAGTTAGGGTCTACCAGAAACGATTCAGTTGAGAAGTCTGAAAATTAAAATATAAATAGAATTGTGTTGGCTATTTTCCCAAAGAAGAAAAAAAAAGACAATTTTATTTATACTTACACTTAAATATATATATATATACATTCACAAACACATGGAAACACACAAAATTAGATCTTCCCATATAAATATCTATAGCATAGAACAATGGGGTTAACATTTATTTTCCAATACTTTAACACAAGACATATGCTGCTAATAATTTACTACTGTACAGCCAGTCTTTTACATTGTATGTTGGTGCAGGAATAAGTATGAAATGATGCCCGATGTTTACATTTAAAATTATGCATAACATAAGCAATTAATAACAAGATAAGATTACATTTCTTAAAAAAAAGAAATAATAAAAAATCTTGGCCCTGTGTACAATGCAGATTGAATAATTTATAACTTCTCAAACCACTGGTAGAAATAATCTGTACCATGAACTTCATCGTATCAAGGAAATTGATTATTAAAAATAGCCATGGAAAGGCATGGTGATCTAACAGTCTTCCAATTGATATAATAAGGAAGAATAAGAATGGAAGTCATGATTTAGACCAATATAACAGAAAATAAAAATGGGCAATTAACCCATGCATACTGATTATTCAGAGATTCACCTAGGTTATGTGGTAAAGCTAGGTACTAGAGGTTTTAATTTTAGGCTCAAGTATTACAATCCTCTTTACTACTAATATCAAGCATTAAGACCCTATTAATATAAGTGGCACTTAGATTTTACATTTAATATCTGTATATTACATTTGTATATAAGTGTATAGTTTTTCTGTGTGTAAAATATGCATTTGGTAAAACAGGCAAGATATTTGTGGAGAGCTAGTTTGAGAAGCAGGGTAGGTTATAAGCTTGTTATTTTTTAGCACTAAGAACACTCTAAAAAGGGGAATAACATCCTAGGGAGAACACTGTGAATAGAATAATGGAGAATGCATCCTTCAGCTTTGCACAATGTTGAGTGCCTTGCCCTTACAGACTATTTACATAAAAACTTAAAAACTTTAGACCCCCATAGTTTTCCTTAGCATCCAAGTTGCATGACACACTTTCTTGGTGAAGGAGGAACTCCATAAAATTGCTCCTATTCCGAAGAGTTATATTTAGGACAGGTGAGATGAAACACCTTCTTGAGGTTTAGGGTTTTCTCTTTACAGAGGCACAGAGAAAGCCTGGGTTGCTCTCTTAAACCAAATACTAAAACTGCAGACTTCTAATGTTAGATAAGTATAGCAGCACTGGAAATTGGTTTCAATAGAATGAGAGAATCATAGAAGAGCCAGGTTAGAAGAGACTTCAAAAAATCATCTGGTCCAGCCTTCCATGGGAAAAGGTACTTCCATGAGATTATCTAGCAGCTTGTCCATTCACATATTGAAAACCAGTACACAGCCGTAGTATTACCTTTCAGTCCCTGAAGGCTGTAATTACTGATTGCAATATTTTTTAGTGTTTATTGTTAATAAATATGAAATTATTTCCTCATTTTTTTGTTAAATTACAATTTTCTACCACTTGATCCTCAATATTTAATAAATGTAAATTCTGTATATACTTCTGCCTGTATACTGGGAAGCAGGCATTTAGTTGAGAGAAGGCATTTCCAGGGAGTATGAATTGCATACCTTTCAAAAGGATACCAGATTCAGTAGCTGGTTGTGGGAGCTACAGTATTGCCAAAATCAGAGTGTAGAGGAGATACTGACTTCTAGAGAGGGCCGACAGTCAGCAGATTTTACTATTTCTAGGATTCATTGTAGTTCTATGTCTCACATTAACTACGTTCTATAGGAACAATGGTTTAAGAGTTTCAGTTTTGTTAAGCCACAGACTCTGAAGCTTTCTGTTTGTGAGTTGTTTCTGAATTCATTTTACGCAAAGCAAACCTACTATTAACTATGTTGCTTTATTCAGGACGTTTGGAACTTCTCATTCAAAATTTTAAGCAGAAGTTTTGTTTCATTTTTTTTGTCACATGCATATACAAATTCAAGTAATAGCTGAACTGACCTTTTTACTCCTTCTTGTTTTGTTTTCTTGTCCCTACATTATGTGCTTCTCCTTATACCCAAGCTCCATTTTGCTTATATCCATCACCATCCTGGCTTCTTTCCACTTCTCCTTTCTTTGGGAAAGCAGTGATTTTAAATTCTAAACATATAACCAAACACACATTATAATTTTCTCCAGTTATAATGTATGACTATCTTGTATCCTAATTCCATCCTTTCAGTCTTGCTATCATATACAGCTTTGTGCTTAGATTCTAATAGTAGCATGTTTTTAAGACAGTAAAATATCACAAAAAAATATGAAAGGGTGTTCTGAGAAAATTTGTTCTGTTGGTGTCTTCTTCGAAACTTTACTGTCAACTTTGTTAGTGCTACTTTACTCTTACCTCCTCTGACTTTGGTACACCTATTGCAAAATGACATCAAAACCAAAAATGGGAAAAATTAGCAAATTTTTAAAATAGAAGAAGCAGCTTCCACAATTATCTTACTAAAGAACAGTCATCAATTACCCAAATAAATTCAACCAGAAAAGTAGGAGCTTTTTCACCTGGTACAGGATATTTGGTAAAGACAAACCAGTAAAACAAATGTTACAATTGAGTTGCTCTGATTTGGTTTTAAGTGTAAATTAAAAATAGAATTATAACAAGAGAGACTTTTATTTACTTTTACATTCCTTTAACGCATAAATATAATGTATGGATGAATGGTGCTGTAACATAGAGGACAGCAAATAAGCCATCGGTTTGTATGACTACTTCTGTTCAGAGGGAAAAATAAGTAACTATCCTAATTACTTATTCCTAAATAATATCCTATTTATTCCTAAATAAAAGCAGTCAAGTATAATGAAAAGCTTCTTTTAGCTACAATATGTGAACCAGAAATGAGTTAAGAATAGACTTTGCAAGAGTTTTGATTCTAAGTATTTGAAAAGGTAGCAATATAACTATAGGATTTACATATAGCCATTTTTTCAAGAGAAGGGTGAGGATTGCTACTTGCATAGAGTGTCCTCCTGTGGTTGTGTTTATACTAGCCTGAAAGAATATAACTATTTAGAGGAGGCTTTCTCATATACACCTATCTCTGTCCAAATGGACCTACATATGGACTGTGTGGATACTTTCCAGGGGTTTCTGGTGAAATCTATCTGGTTTGACACTTCACCAAAGGTTAATAAGTGACTTAAGCTTCTGGACATGCTAGGTGCCTCTCTACATCCCTCACAGGCATAACCATACCCGCTGATTAGGCACCTTAACTGAGTTAGAAAATGCAGCTAACCTAGTTTTTATTAAATGTTGTTGACGATTTGCTATTGGTAATATAGCCTTTACTTGAGCTATATAACTGTGAGAGGCTTCTGCATACTGAAACTAGCCGTGGTATTGTTTCTAAAAATGGGGAAACATAAGCAGCACGAATCCAGTAGAAGAAGAGCATAGGAAAAAAAAAACAAAAACAAACAGAAACAATTCTTTGTCATCTTCCTGATTTCCAGCTTCTGTGCTGAGTCATTAGACAAAGTTCCCCTCAGAAAGAGATAAAGAAACTTCCTATCTATTATTTTTGGGTTCCTTCACAATTACAAATTTTCAGGCAATTGGCCATTATTTTTCTCTTCTACTTAAATCTTTTTTTTCCATGCTACAAGAAGGAGCCTTTAGACAGGGGAACATGCTAAGCATGTCTGCAAGTAAATACTGAGTGAATTTGACAAGCATCATGTATCGGTTAAAACACAAAAGAGAGTTTTTGCAGTCTGTATTTTACTTTTTGCACATTTTGAGCAAGATATACATATTCAAATATTTTTCTACTTTGTTCCATTGTTGCTTTTGAGTAAGACTTGTTTACATTTGCATCTACCTCATCTCTTTTGTTTGTGTACAGAGGATATTTTTAATCACTGGAAGGATAGGTAAGAAAAAGATTTTCACCTACTAATGACAAGTGCTGACATGAAGCAGAAGAAATGCCTGCAGTTCCTTTTACCATAGAATAGTTACCCATGGCTCCATTAGCATAATGTGGAAATAAAAAACTGTCATAAAAATAGAATGCTAGTTTTCTCTTTTAATGAAAATACTGAATTGCAAATAAGCAAACACTAAACCATGTGTTGTTCTCTCCACAGATTGTTCCTTACATACCAAAGCATGTCATTATTGACTAATCTTTGTTAGTCATTAGTAATGATTGATGCTAAGTACTTTAGACCTTATTTATCATCATATTTCCAATTTTTCTCTCTGATGGTTTAATTGACTCGTCCTTTCTAATAGATTTCTGAAACCTCATTTACAGCTTTTTACTGTACTTTTTACTTTTTTTACTACCTCATTCTAGATTATTTAATGTTTCTGGAAGATTATATGAAGTTTTGGTATGAAAATGTTTTAATCAATGCAAAAAAAATATTTTATGGGGAAGCAAAAATATCCAGAATCATGCAACTGTTTTTTAATTGCCTGAGAACATGTCCTGTTTACTTTAAATAACATATGAAGTTGGTTTTGTTACTGCAAGAGCATTATTTAATAGAATTATGGAAAATAATTAAATACAATTAACTTTTAAAATACAAGTCCTCTGATACACGGATGTATTTGCAGCTGTATGCCAGGATTCACTGGAAAGAACTGTGAGGAAGTAATTGACTACTGCAGGCTGCTCAGCATCAACTGTCTGAATGAAGGATTGTGTCTTAATATAATTGGTGGATTCACTGTAAGTAATTTAATATATGTTAAACTAATTCAGTGCTCCAAAGTATAAAAGCTTCAAACAAGCAGAACTTGGAATGCATTCATTACTCTTAAGAGACAAGAGGGACATGCATTTATGTGTTTTATTTATTTAAATCAATAACATAAGGACTAATCACTTGGGTAATACAGATTTTTTTTTATTACTTTTTTACTGAGAGCATGTTTTGTATTGTATCAAGTAAGAGAACTGAAAAGTATTTTTATTGTAAAAATTACATATATATAATATATATATTATAGAGATATATCCATCTCTATAATTGTAGTCCAGTGCCAGTCCACACAAATGAGAATGAGTCTTTAAAAATATATTGCCTGAATTGAGAACATCTGTTGCCATTGTTTTAACCATAATCAAATTAGCAATTTAAACATAAGCACATTTAAACTCGTTAAAAGCTTAGAAGCTTGATAATGAAACTGCCATGCAGCAAGATTAATTCAAACTGACAATTTGAAAAATAAAATAATTCTGCTTGTTCTAACATCCATCATGTACCAAGATTCTCCTGATCATAGCTTGTCAGAAGAGAGGAAAGAATAGTTTTTCCAACAGCAATAACTGGGAACATAAAGGTTATTCTAAACAAGTGCTCATTCTGCAAATAACAGGAGAAGATTACAGAATCACAGAGTGCTTGAGGTTGGAAATGACTCTGGATATCATCTTGTCCACCACTCTACACAAACAGCGTCACCTACAGCCAATTATCCAGTCCTAACACGCTTACCTGTTTGGGTGCTCACACAGAATGCATTAGGATTACTGTTACTCCTTGGCTTCATTGAGTGGGAAGAGTAGTTCTCCTGTGTAAAGGAAGGAGAGCTGGAACCGAGGGTGACAGCAAGGCTGGCAGTGACAATATCTTCACCAGTAAAGGGCACAAAGTTCCTCAATGCCCACAGCAGATTCACAGATTCAGCCAAAAGACCGGTGACCACCAAACAAGTCTGTAGTGATTTGCAGTCAATCTGAGAAGTCAGCTGATCAGGATTAGCAATGTACAAAACTGGATACATGCATCCTGACAAAATAGCCCTGGAAAGGATCTAGTGCCTGAGCTTAAATGCATCTGAGAGGTGAGTTCTGTTTTCACAGTAGGGTGGTCTGAGGTGACAATGCTGGGCCACATCAGAGCTGACCTTGAACACATGCAGTTGTATCTGTGAGAGAGGGAAAAGAAGTCACCAAGGAAGAGTGCAGTGAAAGATGAATATAGTCTGTTTAAGCAAATTAGAGCTGGTTGACGCATTCAAAGTCCTGACGGTTTCTTTGAATATTTCTTGCATGTAATTATTTATTAAGTCTATATTTCATCACTTTTCTTGTAGTCACAAAAGCTAAAGAGGTGTTGATATTGTCTCCACAATGCTTTCCATGATGTTAAAGCCATTTCCACAGTTGAAAATTATTGTCATTTTATTTTCAGTTTGTGGTGTGGGATCTTTATTTGGAAAATTAGCAGTTGTACATCAATTATAAGTTAAATTCTCTGTGAAGAGACACAAATAACTAAGTAATCTGTCCAGCCATTTTTTTTTTTTTGCTTCTCTTTGTGGTAACTTTCTTGATCATAATTTATTTTTTCCCACAGTAAGTACATATTTTCAGGACTATCAGGAAATCAAATACTGACAAGTAATTTGAGAATTCCAGCTAAGAGAAACTTGGCTGTTATTTTTTTCCTTTTTTTTTTTTTTTAAAGAAAAGTGGACCTAAGCAGTCAATCTAAAAAAAAAAAATCCCAAACCACCCCACCTTCAACAAAGGAATTTTCAAAAAATCAGGGTGCTGAAACTTAAAATCTAATTTAAAAATTATTTTTATTTTAAAAGTAACCTCTAATTTAGTTTCAAAAAGTAGGAAGTACTTAGAATTGAAACAGTATAGTTTCTTTTTCAGTATTGCTGTAAAAGTTATTGGCACAAATTCTTGATCACTGATACTAGTTATAATTGTAATATTAATAGCTACTCTGCTTACATTTATTGTATTTTGTAATTTAATATCTGTTTCTAAAATTGTTTCTGCCTCTATTAGGAAATCCCTCTAATTCATATTAGGCTTATGCTTGATAGTAATGTGAAGTTATAGGAAGCATTTACTGATGAAGCTATTGTGTCAGATAAACATCGGAATTGTTGCTTCTTAGGAAACAGAGCTTCTCCTTGCATTTCATTTTTTTATATCTCAATTCTCATATGTCATACTTCAGAGTACAGCTCTACTAATAACAATTTCCTTTGTTCTTTGCATGGTTGACCATCATCTTGAGAATCAAAATAATGATGTATATATATTAAGATAAGATTTATCATTAGAAAAAACAGTGTGTAGTTAATTCCTGTTCACATAGCTTAATGCAAAGAGATGACATCAGACAAAGCAGATTTAATGAGATTTAATAACCTGACAGGTAGTGATGGAGAAACATTTTCTGCTGCAATTTACTCATTAAGCAAAATTAATTGTTTAGTGGAGCAAGTTCAACTCCAAGGAAAAAAAAATGTAGATCTTGATGACACTTCAGTGGGCGTAGCCAATCAGCTGTATTGACGCAGAAAAGTTTTGTTTCCAGGCAGTTGAATATTCTGCTTTTTGCAGCACACACCCCACACATCCCTCACCCCATCCAGCTGAAACAGAAGATACCACAGTTTGTATGTCACGGCTAACTGCCAAGATGACTGTAAAAGACCTAGAATTCTGCCTAAGATATATTTTTGATTTTATTTTCAGAGTTAGAAAAAGTTCAAACTGATAAAAATGTTACCACTGTATTACTGGACTTATAGGTTTGAAAATTTGTGAAGCAGTTATTCTGATTTAAAATTAGAAAACTTTTTTGGTAAACCATATTAAATTAAGTAAAAACAGAGTGAATAGTCAAAGACGAAAATAATTATGAATTGGGAATTAGTGATCCCTATGAGTGTTTTCACTGGGCTCATGTCAAGCCAGTCAATGGGCTGTCAGTTTTCTGCAGAAGGAATACAAAGGAATAGTTGTATTTGGAATATTTAATTCTGGGTACCAGAAAATGGTAAAGCCGCATTAGCAAGGACATGCTAACAGTGTTGTGCATAGTTCTGTTCATTTGCTTCTCCTGTGTGCTACTGATTATACCAGGAGCATTTTTAAAAATAGTTAGAATAAAATATAGTGCAGTACAATGTATAAGCATTTTTCCATCAGACCCGTGCCAGGTCACATCTGTCCTGTTCTAGTGAAAAACTTCACCAGACATTAGATTTCATGAGGACCTACTGCTGTGGGATTCAAACCCCAAAATTACCACAGGCTGAAGGCTGGAAAACAATGTGAATTGCTTGTAGTAGCCTATGCAGCGCTCTTATTCTTCTGAATTAAAAGGTTGGTAAAAGGATTATATTTCCCAGTGTTTCCATGAATAGTGAAAACATAAAAAACTCAACTCACTTTATCTGGGCTCCATAGATGGTCAAAGATACATTTACTTTTTTAGCTAGATCCTAAAATACAGAAAGGTAAGATTGCAGCCTTGCCTCAATTTAAGAAACCATGTTATCATTTGGACAGGTAACAAATACAGTGTTTGAACATTACAGATCTTCCTCTTTCAAAAAATACTGCTATGTAAAATTCTATTATTTACTATTGATTTGTCAGTTATTGCAAGAACCCTGCTACTGAATTTCCCCTGTTTTCAATTGCAATGTCGGAATCACTTTTTGAAACCTATATAGAAGAACATATAATATAGCTCATTTTTCTTCAATACCCATCACATAGATAAGATTTTTAATTGATGTTATCCTGATTCGGCAACTTTGCCTCCAACTACTCAGTATTAAAAAACACGGGGTTGCTGTTTTAATGAAAATTTTAAATTAAAACAGGTTTAAAATAAACCATACTTCTACAGTGACTACCATGTGTAACTTGCAGTTTCCAGCAGAAGTTTATTCAATAAAAATATTCATCTAAATTATTTTGACAGTGTGATAATCTGCTCCATAAAAGTATTTTTTTTAACAAGATCTGCCTTACAGAAACACATTTCAATAGGCATATCTGTTTTCATGGCAACTCTTTAATTTTCTTCAATGGATATTTTAGATGAAAAGACAGTGTTCTTAATTTTAAGTCCATACTATTTTCTCAGTGCTTTTAATGTGAGTGTCTTAACCAGTTTATGACTATGGGTGTCTGTTATCCTTGTCTCTACATGAAGACAGGGAAAAGATCAACAATTCCCAAAGGACAGCTGTCAGGGAAGAAAGAACTGTTGTTTCTTTTGTGTTAATCACACTGCTGCCTTATGCTAACCACCTGTGGGGGCGTGCAGTGGTTTTGGTAGAGTTCTCTCAGTGAATTTGAATGACTCCAGCAAAGCCTCTGGCAGAAGGAGACAGAGCAGTAAAAGCAGGTAAAGAGGATATACAAATGAGGAATCACCTGGGGATGTAAAGCATTCCTCTAGGTCTCAAGGGGGAATCAGGTACTCAATTGTTTATTCACAGGAAGTGGCTTAGATTAAGGCCAGATTAAGAATTATCTCTGTTTAAGATCACCTGCTTTTTTCCTGAATCACTATTATTAAAATAAATCAAGTAAACAACAAAACCAAAGATACTGAAAGAATGTATTACATGAATTATGTAAATTATGAGGATAACAGGATTGTCAATTACTAAATTTTGGAAGCCTGTAAAGAAGTGAAGTTTCTGAAACTAGGGAAAGTAGGGGATGTCAGACTGTCAAATTTGTGGCAGACCAGCTGTCTTTACTTTCTAGGGGAAATGACTGAATCACATAAAATTTACAGAATTCACAGTCTAGTTAGGAATACCTGCAGAAAAGGGCATTTGAGGGAGAAGAACGTGCAGCCCTGCTGAGTTGCAAGCAGGAAATCTGGAATAGCTACACACACTTTCCTGTTTCTGCTCTGCCATACACTTCTTATGGGAGGGCATGCA